CTAAATAATGATAGGAATAATAATAAAAGGTAAATGTCATTTTGGGTGTTTTGACAATACTTGACTTGTAATTTTCTTAATAGGTAACTCTAAATCAGGATTTTATTTCTGCTTGACAGTTGTTAGGCACTTTTATACAAGAAAACTTATCTTGAGAGAGATAATTTTTCAACAACCAAAAGATTGACGGCATGCTGTTCACCTGTGTAGTTTTTGTTTTTGTTATAGCTTTCATTTTTAAGAGGAATATTATTGGATTTTGTCATAAATTGTCCAGTAAGTAATGTTTAGGATAAAGTTATGTGATGATATATATAGATACCAAGGTCCCATGTGTTCAAGAATACATCACCTCCCTCCAGAAACTTTGGAAAACCGGCCAGACTAGCACTTCAGAAAACGGCACAACGACAGAAGACAGCAGGCGATCGGCACGGGTGACCATTTCCCAGGCTCGGACGGGGACAATTCGTCTGGCTGTCCACTAGGAGCGTACCACTGCGGCTACCCTCACACAAATTGGGACCTCGCTATATTGGCCCATTTCAAGTACTCACCCAGGTTACGCCCGTCTCCAATCGCCTTGCTCTCCCTTCGACCCTGAACATTCACCCCACTTTCCATGTCTCTCTCCTCAAGCTCTTCCACAGATCCTCCCTCTCCAGACCACAACCACGCCCCCCTCCTCCTGGCTTGTTGCTGGCCTCCCAGCCGTCACCGTCAATAAGATTGTGGACGCTCGCTGGCACAGAAGCTCCCTACAACATCTAGTCGACTGGGAAGGATACAGCTAGGAGGAACGATCTTGGGTCCCCAAAACTTCTGGACCCCAGCCTCATCCAGGACTTTCATCGCGCTTTCCCAGATCACCCAGTAAAGGCCTCAGGAGCCGCCCAATGTGGGGGGGAAGGTAGTGTCATGGCCTCCACTGATCAGATACGAGCCCCTGCTGCTTCACGCAAATGCACTAATCAGACACAAGCCCCTGCTACTTCCCACAAACGCCAATGCACATCCTAATTACCCAACCACGTCCCTCGTCCCACACCACACCTCCAGGCAACCCACTACTTAAGGAATCCTCACCTGCACCTCCATGCTCAGTATTGAGTTAATCCTCACAGAGCTCCCTTCGCTAACCTTCTTCGCCTGACAAACCCTTCGTCTTGAGCAATCCCGGATTCTAGACCCACGCTTCCTCTTGACCACAAATATTGGCTACGTGACTTGGCTAAGTACTTTACTAAGCACAGCATAGGGACCAGTCCCCTTTGCTGAGACTTCCAGTACCTTACACTCCCTTCTGGAAATCCTTCCTCTCAAGCACTGCCCACTTCAACCTCAGCTTCATTCCCACAGCCATCCAAGCTCTGAATTCACGTTGAACTCTGAATTCCATTGTAGAATTATGCTGCTACATGGATAGTTGTTTACATGTGTACGTGACGATGTTTGTTTGTCGTCTGTCCTATTTAGATTTGTACCCTATATGTTGTATGTATGTCTCATCTGTGTTCTGTGCTGTACCGAAACCAAATTCGTGTGGCAATAGAGAATAATCTAATCTAGTGTTAATTTGAGCTAATTATACTAATCAATGAAGTCAAACAATTAATTAACCCCAATGTATTTAATGTGCAAGGATCCTCATTCAAAGAACATACAGTAGCAAATTTAGCAGGTATGGAGCGGAAACTAGATTCCACTTCTATCACGGCAGTATAGCTCATACCAGGGCATAGTCCATCAAGGCAGTATAGTTCTTTGAGCAATTCTGCCCCTCAAAGACATAAAACAACACAATATCAGATAATACAAATTTGAGATTAAGAACGGATTTTGTACCAGAAGACACTCCCTTTATATCTTAGCTCCTAAAAGGTGCCAGCATATGAATAAATCAAAGGACAGATTCATTATAAACAAACGTATAGAAGTGGCTTATCTTATATGACAAGCAGATTTATTTGTCAAAGCTAATTTGAATACACTTCTGATGCCATACAAAATAAGGCTGATCCCAGTGTGTATTGCAAAGTCCAACCCATTTTCTCACTTAGAAATTAATCATGTCTACCGTGTGATGCGTGCTGGTATGGTAGACTTAATGTCTTCAGCCGTGCCTGATGTGGATTTCCACATCTTGTACGACACAATCAAAAGAGCAATCTGACACATTCAAGATTCAAAGAGTTTACAAAAACTGCAGTCTGAGTGGCTCAAAGTGATCTGTCACTTTGGCTATGAGACTGTAGGAAAAAAAAAAGAAAAAATATCAGTGGCAAGAGGTCTTTGGTGCCTAATTAGTAACTTGGGTTTAATTTACTCCACATATTTTCTTGCTTCAAGTGGCCACATAGCTTTTACTAGATTTTTTCAAATTACAAATGAAGCAAATTAACTAAGGACGACAGAAGCATTGCAGCACAACCAGTGTGGCCAAACTCTCGTTATGGTGTTGTAATAAAGATTCAGTTTACATTTGAAGGCTCCAAAGTATTTTATTGTGCCTAATTGCAATCTGTACCTGTCTGCGAATGCTTAAAAATGTTATTTTTCCGTGACTAAATATCTTACTACTCTTTTTGTTGGAGTCACCTTAAAAACGTATAGAGAATAAAAATAAGACTGCTTTTTATCACCGTCAAGAATGACATTGGATTAAGTACAGTATAATTATTTTTACCGTCAATGTGTTTGACAATAAAGTCTCCTGAGTGGATTGGCTTCAGGCCCTGTGAGAGGGGGCGCCAGCAGGGCCTCACCTCACAGCGGGGCCTCACCTCAGCCAAGGGTGCAGGGTCCTCCACTTTAACCTTTGGCTATGTTTCTCGACTTGAGTCAACTTGAGAATACTGTGATTCTCGACTAAAGTCCACGGCTGTGGAAAACCGTCTCCCTTTCGGTGCTGAATCTTCAGGAGTTTCAAAATGCCCGCCTTAATCTTCCCATCATGCCATTCTTTTCATTAGAATACCTCTCTTCCCAAACTGTTAAGGGGGCTCACAATGTGAAATGGCCCGGGCCTCATCCGAGCTCTCGGGGGGGGGGTTGGGGGCGAGTGGCTTACCTGGCCGAGGTGCTTGCTTGAGTGTCCGTTGAGCTCTGTGTTTTCAGGTGCAGGACTAGGCCAAGTCACAAACTCTCTGTGACAGAGCTTCCCTCAGTGAATTAGGACGATTGGCTAGAAGCCACTGAGGATGGGGCAGGTTTAACTGACCAGGGCTCTCTCATCTCACGCTGAGCCCTGTGCTTGCAGTCATGGAGGTGCTATCAGTGAGGTATGTCTCCTCCAATCAGTGCTGAACCTCTATATTGTATGGCTCCATATGACTTGGTAGACTTAACGACCTTTACACCCCAAAACGATATCCTGTGATCATCAAAGGACACGTAACTGGAGAACTCCTTGGCCAGACGTCAAATAGTTCCATGTCCAATTTTAGCCACTAAAGCTTGAAATGTTTTTCCTGCTAAAATAATACATGTGCACTGAATTTGTTCCTTTACTTGATTTAATTTTTATATGAAACACTCTGCTGTGTAGGTGCATATATAATACACATGCATTCGTATATGCTGTATATATATAAAACATACACCTGCATGCCAGGATACATTCAGTAGGCGGTTCTCAGCTAATGTTGTTTTCTGATATCACCTCATTCAGCTCAGTTTATTGCCATCTTTATCAGGTGACCTTTATTCAAAAACCATCAGAAATAAGCTGTTGCTGCTCTCAAGTAAAATTATTTGAACATTTGTAGATTTTGCACTTTTAACCGGAACAAATTTAAGGCAGGGCCTCACTTATAAAACATTAATACTACCAACATTGATTATTTATAAAGCCTTCCCCACCAAAGCATTAAAAAGGCTCTGTAATGAGTAATGAATTTGTATTAGATTTGAAAGAGGACTCATCAGAAGGTCTCTGACCATTCTGGGCGCTTGAAGAATATGTAAATAACACTTGTGCTGGATGTTTTTTTTCAGGGCAACATCAACTTCATGAACTATTCCTTTTCAGAGGTATTCTTGGTGCACTGGTAGTGAACACACCTCACTAAATCTTAAAATAGGATGTTTTTTTTAATGATCTCACATGTTTTCCACTGAAAATGTCTGAAGATTTTAGTAGTAGTTCAAGTAGGTAGCTGTGTAGGCTGCAAAGGAACAAGTAAAAGTATATTCCGTGCCGAAAACAGAAGAAGAGCAACACAACCTTTCGGCTGTGCAGCCTTCTTCAGGTGTGACGCCCCAAAATGTTATGTTTCTGTTCTTCTCTTTTCAGCATGGCATAAAACTTTACTTGTTCTTTTTAGTAGATTTTAGGAACATAAGAAAAGTTACATATGAGTGATAGCATGATGAGGCATTAAGAACAACAATCTAATCATTGCTTGAAGGGATCTGCTTCATCAGTATGAGGAATTACGTTAAGTTAAAAATGTCTATGACTTTCTGTGAAAATAAGTGTTTCTTGTCCTGCATAAAATGTTCTCATATGCCATGTATTGTTGTTTCATTTTTGGTATTATTACCTCCTGGGTTGAGCTGAATCAGGATTTTGAGTAATTGAATAAAAAGCACTCATGGATTGATGTAGCTTTACAGACCCTGCTTAACAATATTCCCAGACTTACTTTCCCAAATTAACAGAATTACATGATTAGTGACAATTTCTGGTATTCCTGTTTTATATTATGTTATCCTAGGTGACAATACATTCAAAATAATTACTGAACTGAGAATAATGAAGAGTATTACAAACCAAAAGGGTTTTATATACATATAGATGTTCGACATACAGAAATAGGACGTCTCTGCATCGCGTTTTCATTGTTTTGTCTTTTTTCGTTCATGTTTCATTTGTCTCAAGAAATCATTAGATCAAAACAAAATCTGAACAGGGCTTTACCTCCTCCAGTCTGCGGCTGCGCAATCTCACTGTACTCCTGTGTACTTCCCTTTATCCCAGAATGCACTAGACACAGGCGGCCATGTTGAGATTATCTGCAGAAACTGCTGGAGAAAAACATACACAAAAGCCTTTCGGTAGAATTGTTTTTCTGAGCATATCAGTGTGTTTGAAAACTACATTCATGTTTTCCCACTTTTAAGAAATATTTCTGTACAATGGCTGCGAACGCCCGAGGTGAGTCGATTATCCAGTGCGGTAATAAGCAATAAAAAGTTAGTTTATTGTGTGCAATATTGTGAGGAGATGTATTTTCCTGTAGGTTTTGGGCCTAACCCACAGTAAGCAGGCAACGTCTTGCCGCTAATTCTCTCTAATTTACCGTTTAAGAGCACCTTATCTTTCATTTGATGTGCACATTTATGCAGTTAAAGATGTTTTCTCTAAATCGAAGATCTGTTGCCTAAAGTGAGGTCTTGTGAAGGTATCCTGAAAATATAAGAAAATCCTTCAAGGTTATATATGTATATAGCGTTTGAGATTCCCATTGCAGTGAACGATAAATTAATTTTAGAAAGTTAGTCTGCATTCCGGCGTTTAGGCCTGTTGTTGCGCATATTAGAGCAATATTCTTTGTGCATTAGTACCAGTGCAGTGGAGCATTGAAATCGGATTTAAGAAAAAAAAAGGTATCTTAATGGTGAATACAGTAACGTCATGCTGTGTTGAAAAACAGTATTTGTGTTGCGTGCGTTACGTTAAACTTTATAATCTCCTGGTATCACTCAGTGACTCATTACTGACGGTTTAAGTGTTTTAAAGATTGTAGTTTATTGTAATATATTCTGATACAAAGAAAAGCGATTACCACTGGTTTGAGGCGGTAAGTTACTGCAGTAACTGTGGTGGCAATAGAGCAAAAGCACGTTTTCTTTCTAAGCCTCCTTGTCTGCTTTTTTTTTGCATGCGTGTAGGTTTTTGTCAAATGTTTCTTACAAACCCCGGGAGACCCATGGCGTCTGTTGTGTTGCTCGCAGGCTGTATGGAATGAACTCCCAGCTCATGTTAAACCTTGCACGTCAGCACTTTAAATTCCTCTTAGAATTGGTTTATACAAGCCTTTTCTTCTGTTCAGTTTATCATATTAAATTGTGCATCCATGTTTTTCTTCTTCTTTCTGAGGCGCCTTTGCGGTGTGAATTTGTACCTGACAAGGCCCCATGTAAAGTTGAGTTTGTTTTGTCTTTGCAAGGAACTATTTGTTTTTCTAGGAGAAAGTGAAAGGTTTATTCCATGCTGAAAAGAGAAGAAAGAAAACACAACGTTTCGGGTTTGAAGAAGAAGGCTTCACAGCTGAAACGTGTTTTCTTTCTTCTCTTTTCAGCATGGAATAAACCTCTTACTTGTTCCTTTGCAGCCTATGCATGCTGACGCAGCTACCCACCTGAACTACTATGTTGTTATTCTAGTACCTCCTGGTAAAATCTTAATTGCAGCATCTGCATGACTTTGTAGCTTGATGTCAAGACTTAGAAACTAAGCCTTAGTCTGCCTAAAATGCCAGTCTTTCCTTTGTTATGGTTTTGCTCTGATACGTAGGTGTCCCTTTCAGTACTTCCCTCTTCATAATACTACTCCAGCTTGTTAGAGTACTGAAAGAGACCTAATGAATCCACATTTCCTTAGGAATATTCAGAAATATTGTATCCTCACAAACTGCTGATTAACTCCATGGAACAAGTTCATTCTCTGTACCATGCACACAATAAACGTGAGCAACATGGTACAGTATTGTATAAATATGTAATAGCTAAAAACATCACAATATATTTTTAAGTGTAGCACGCATTCTTAAATGTCACCTTGGGTAAAGCCATCACTTATTGCCAGTAGTGCAGTAATGTGTTATGATGTGTATCTTCTGGCACGAGTCTCTGGTTCCATGCTGTAAAACAAACAAATACTTGTGTGAGAGGAAAAAATATGAAAAGATTTTTTCGTCTTCAAGTCAAAGAATCCAGACATCAAATGCAAATCAATATGTAAATCTCTGTAAATTAATAATTGAATAGTGTTTGGTTTTCCTTTGATATCTGTACATGAATTGTGTAAACACATTCTGACTGATGCCAGACCAGTATTAAATGTCAGAAAACAATAAGTTGAATATTCATTTTGCTTAAACGTTTAAAATGGCTCTTCTGCATGAAGTTCTAGGATTGTGCCAAAACATGTGTGTTGACTGGGACAGTAAATCAGCACTGTAAAAATCACCAGACTGGCTGCTAATTTACCAGATGCTAATGAAAGAAACATAACAATAAGCTTCTTCATGAGTTCTATGAAGACTCTGGCAACATACATAAACTTTGATTTTGTAAATTTAAAATGTCAGCATAAACTTTGAGCAAGCTGTGTTGTAGAAAGGATAGTTTATCTAAATATTGTGGGCTTGGTTGATTTCTGTTTGTGTTGATGCCAGCAACTACTATAAATAAGTGTTTGCAGTACAAGAATCAAGGAAGGTATACTACATATACTTTTCTTGCCAGTTTTATAGGGTTAACAAGGTTAATCAGCATCACTCTTGAGACCACTAGAGTGGTGGATCTGCCTGTTGTTCTGTCATTGGGAAAGCATGGTTTCTGTTAAGGGCTTGTTCTTTTGTTGTAACTGCATGCTGTAATTAAATTCTATGTGTACTGTTTAAAGACAAGCTTTGTCCTAACATACTTTCATGTCCATTAGGCTGTTTTTCCCATCTCTATAGCCCACATTGTAGTTCTGTCTTACTGTTCTTACAATTGAGTGCATACTCATCTGAAGAAGGCTCCACAGCCAAAATGTTTTTTCTTCCCTTTTCAACATGGAATAAACCTTTACTTGTTCCATTTGACATTGGATGTCTTGAATCTGGACTTTGCACGATGGTTTCGTATCGCCAATAATAGATCCTTGGTTCAGTTAGCGTCTAGCAGTCAAATGTGCTTTACAGGGCAAATGACTCCTCATGTTTTTGTGATCCTTCCTGTATTTTCATATGCACAGGCCCAGGATGTACAGATTGCTAAAGCTCCTTTCGGTATTCAGAAGAGTATTTGTAACACTATATAACAGTGCTATAATATCCTTTAACAGCAAGTGCTGAGGGAATGATATTGATGCTTGATCGGTGTGCGCAGCTCTGGTATTCTCCTCAAATGCGAGCAGCAGACACAAATACGTCTAGGAAATCCTGTTGCTGAGATGTCGAAGCTGTGAACGATTGACACTTGAGCACATAGAGCAGACCTCTGAGCTGATCTTACAGCGACTGCGGCATTAAGAATGTGAAGTTCCAGCATGTCTTTGCATGACGTTTTACAGCAACTGGCTCGCTCTGTTTTTGGGGTAAATTTTTCTGCAGATGGTGTAAGTGATCACTACATCACTATGTGAAATGGACTTCTGTACGGAGCCCTTGCTTGCCAGTTGAAGGGTTGTGAGAAAAGCAAGAGATCTCCTGCTCCTCTGTCATGTATGGGGCTGTAATGTGGGCATGGTTGTTCATAATACCTGTACATAAAAGTCATGGTCATGGACAGGTCACGGTTACATAATAATCAGGAAAATTAGTGTATGTATTTTTTTCTTATACAGTAAAAGAATGTTACATGATGTTAAGTATCATGTTCCGTCTTTGTCCGTTTCCGTTTTCTCTCTCTTTAGTCTCTATCTGCCTGTTTTATGCTGTGTTTCTGAACTGTTGATTAACACTTCATCATTTACACAGAACTTAAATTAACCAAGGTAAACCAGAGGATTCCTTTGATCAATTTCACACCCAGCACAACTAAACACTGTTGTTTTTTTCTTTTTGTGAACTTCAGACATATACCCTATCCAGGTGTTAACCATTGTATCTAGCTTCTTGAAGACTAAAGTAGTGGCCCTTATTTTGCCACTGTAGTTATATGATTACTAAATAAAAAGTGTTCTTGTTCTGAGCTGTTTTGAGAGTGTTATCAGAATGTACATGGCCCTGGGATTTCTGAAGCCTAAGAATTTATGATCAATTTCAGATTCCCCCAAATAAGCAAATTATAAATGTATTAGTTCTAATTTCTAATCAATTATAAATGACAAAGTTGTTTTTGAAGGTCTGCAGTTTAGGTGGTACAGCAGTTCTAATTCTTTAAAAGCTAATAAAAAGAAATATCCTTGCAATCACAGTAAGTCATCATGCTTGGAACTTTAATTTTTATTATTCAATTCAATTAAAATTCCTTTATTCCTTTATTTCTTTACTCTTTAATTCCTTTTTTGTCTTAACATCTTATTGTCTGGAAATACTTAAGAAACTTTAATTTTTAAGTATTCTCATGGATGGTCATTGGGTTAGTCTAGTCTGGAAGAATGTTACAAAACCAACTGACATTTCGGGTGAACCAATTGTGAAATAATAAAAAAGGCTCAGAATACATCTCAGAATGTGTAGGTCATCAGAATCTGTGGGACATAGTCAGCCCTGTAAACCAATCAGTTATTGCATAACTTTCAGTCAAAATGATCATTGGAAACATTCAACTTTGCCTTGCCCACCCCCAGCAACTTTTATTTTCTGTTGTAATTGGGTATTGACACGCTGAAATGTGCAGGAGCTGTAGAGGAGTGCAGCAAAATTCTGCATTTCTGTCACGCTTGATGTGATCAGCAAAGAGATTAATGATGAGCATAAATTTCAGAAAGCTGTTGTAAGGGAAATGCTAATATAATGTAGTAATTACAAGGCTACATTAAAGCGTATTGTAATTCTAGCAATAGAAATGAACTGCAGATTGAAATGTAAAATTGTTTCTAAGAATGTGACCTTGTAGTTCTACAATCATTCAGTCTGATCAAAGGTTCATTGAAAAAAGTCCACGGTGGACGATTCTACAAAAGATTTGATATTCATTGGAATACTGACGGAATTAACACTATTCAACTTTGAGAGAGATTGACCCCTGAGCTTCATCCCATGTGATTTTGGATTCTCGAGCTGTAGGACAACAGCAGCAGCAGATCACTACTGTGTGCTCCAAAACATCTGTGTATTGGATTGTTTAACCACTAGATGTTTTCAGTCAAGGCAGTTATGGAGTCATGAGTGATGTGCTGTCCACACCTTTGAACAATTGGGTTTTTGTCCTTTTAGTTCAGCAATGTTGCAGTTGTCCGATGAGTGAAGTATTGTCATCTTCAAGCTCTGGTCTGTGAAAGATACACTAGACGTGGGAGAATGTTAGCATGCGGGTGGTGGAATTGTCACGATGGCCACAGTTATCTCCATGTCTTAGGCAGTCTACATTCTTTGATGTGGTTATGTGGCAGTTTTCCTTTTGTGAATGGTTTGCCCTCGTCATACTAGGCTGTGGTAATGAGACACAAAGGCATGAGTCATCAGGTTGGCCAATGAAGTAAGGTCTGTAGATCTTGGCTATGTGGGACATGAGGGATAACAGAAAGTGCCCTCTGGAATGGAAGGCTGGAATTGTACTTGGGACTCCATCTTTGAGCTTGGAGGAAGCACTGCTAACTACCATGGTCATGGAACCATTCAACAGGTCACAATGCCATTATAGAAGAGAACCTGCTACCTTTAAAGAATACCATTTTGAAGAGTTATGTGATTTTTTTTTGTTAGTTCTGTTCTTCTTATACTATACTAGTCATACTATTATGAATGCTAATCAGGCTTTAATTTCGGTTTTACAGTAGCAGAATTTTAAGGTTTGTGACGCATTTGAAGTTGTATAAAATGAAGGAGAACAGTATTTTGACATACTCTGCATTGATATGTAACAAACCTGGTAAACCACAAGGAGTAACGAAAGGGGAGAAAATACTTCAGCAGGGTTATCTGCACTGAAGAAAACATTTAAAAATACAACCTTGTACGTTCATGGGGAAACCTTAACATGAAGCTTTTTTTTTTAAGTGTAAAGCGGTACACCAGGCCACCTGCTACATTATGTGTTTGGGATTTAATTCCACAAGCGGAGCAGACTCATGTTATTCATAATGAAACCAGTGTGATATTCAGCTATTAACCATGCTCTTTGTTTATCTTGGTATAAAAAAAAACTTTGGAAAAAATTAAACAACCTGAAAGTACAAAGTTTAAACATGCACGAATCCTGGAACTTTGTGAAATAGCTTGTTAACAAATGCCTCAGATACAGGTGGAATTCTGGATCCTCCGGTCACAGTGGTAGTTTACTGCACATTAGAGATTAAATCATATACTCTGAGTTGAGTCCTGGTAAAATGGTCCACAGACTTCCTTGAAAAGTCTTTTTGTATCAGAAAAAAACTATATGAACCGCATATGAACAAGTTTTATTACGTATTTCATGTTGTACTGTTTTTTGTGTTACCTAATTCTCAGTACCTATGTACTTTGAAAAGTCTAAAGTGATTGTCTTATTTACTTTGAGCTAAGACCTTTTCAGTAGGACAACTGTAATGTACCTGACTTGTGTATTGTCCTTAGGTTTTCCACATCACGGTGGTGTGCAGCACAACATCTTAATGTCATTGCTGTTTTTATGTTTCCAGATGACGAGTTTGATCAGTTTGACAAGCCAGGCGCCGAGAGGTCAAGAAGAAGAAGAACTGGAGATGATGACTTGGACAGGTATGTCTGCAGATTCCTTGTTCAAAATAGCCATCATGGGAACGTGTGCATTATTATGACTGGCACATTAATTTTACTTCAGGCAATCGGGATTAACCTTTGCCACTGCTTCAGATATAGAGTTTAAATTATAGTTGAGGGATTACTGATGTTAGTTTAACTTAATTGCTGTGGAGTGTTTTTTGTCCAGTTTCTTAGCTTGTGTTGATTCTGAAGTAATTGTTTTACTCTGTTTATCCTCTCATATGGTATGAGTGAATAATAAAGAGGGAGGATGTTTTTATACTGCGTGTGGAAGGTCAAGAAAGTGCTCCACGTTGGGTAACTCCATCCATATTTCACCCAAGGAGGTGTCTGAGCCTAACACTGCAGTAATAGAGTATACCTCTTGCTTGAGATTCCTCTCTGTTAAATGGTTCCACACAGCCTGATGCGTTAATAAAATGGGCAGAACCACATTGTCAATAGAGCCAGTGAGCTACTACAGCCACTTCATTGCTAATTGAGCCTGTTTTCTGGAACTCATTTATGTTTTGTCCTTATGTTTGATTGTGACAGTGATTTTGTATTTCACTGCGTATTTGGACTGTGTACAGAACGTTGCTTACAGATAAGAGCAGCGTATGTTAGTTTTTTGTTTTCTGGTTCATGGCTTGGGTGTTGCATATTTAGGAAACTTATGTATTCTCGTATTACAAAAGTTAGGACGAGACCTTGTCCCCCTTTTTCCTCATTTAAACTGTTAGAGGATCTGTACATTTGTCAGATTGAACTATTTGAATTTAACATTGAGAGAGAAGTCAGACAGATCAAACAGGCCCTGACTGAACCATTTTCATGGCTGACCCTTCAACCTTTTCTTTGATTCTTGAGTTTTAGGTGCCATGTAGGAGGATCTGCAGCAGATGTTCACATTCTGGACTTTCACAGACTTGTGGCGACAGGTTACAGACAGAAACCACCAGTGTGTTCTTAGGTTCCATTCACAAGGCATCTGCTGATGTCCAAGAAAATTATTGAAGTGTCAGATTCATAATATACAAGTTTAGTCTTCCATTTGTTGCTGATAATGTTAAGGAGGAAAAAAATACATGCATTGATCAGTTTGTTGAATTGCATGCACTGCTTAAGTGTTTCCCTAATAAAAAGGGATTATAAAATCTCAGATTTATTCACTCACTCATTTCCAAAGTAGTTGCAGTCTGCTGGACAGGTAAATAGGTTAATAGAAAGGGTTAACCGTAAATGATTAGTGGCAATGAAGAGGTTGGACAGATGTTAAAGACTGGGTCACGAAACTAAAAAAAACAAAGTGGTACCGACCATGGTATCAGTTTTACTGGTTCCTGCTGCCCTGGAAATGACTATTTCTTATCTGTTCATCCTTCTTCAGTGTGCTTTTTCCAAAGCTCACCATCACATATTCATTTCTGATAGCACAAAGGTTTGGAAACACTGCTCTAGGTCATACCTTCACAAGCTGCAGGCCACCAATTTTTTCACTTGTTAGACTTAATACAAATGCAAGGGAGTAGAGGAGACTTATGCATGTCAGGTGTGCCCTGTATTACATAGGATTAGTAAGTTTAAGTGTGCCATTAACAATCGAGGCATTTCCACTTTCAATTTTTAATTTAAAAATGCCACTTGAGAAAAGCAAGGAAACAGCTGGATCCTGGCTTTTATCTGTGTAAGGAGCATATGGCCAACAACACCCAGTATAAAGACAGTATTTTTACATTTCTGCTATCTTCTCATATCTCGACTTCAGCCATTCTTTAATATTGGACTTGAGTCAGGAGCACCTGTAGGTTTGTACTTCAAATCAAATTACTTTCAGTGTCTGTGAATGTGAAAAATAATTTAGGTGTCTTCCCTTCTGAAATGCAAAGCAGTGCTTACAATTAAATCAAAGTGAGATCCTTTACATATTTATTAGGTATACAAAACCCAACTTAATATCTTTAAATAAAATTATCACAAAAAAACCTTCTCATCTGCCTTTTTGTAGTTTGAGCTACTAAAATAAATCCTTGAATGACAGAAAGGTCCTGAATGTAACAAAGGTGCTGCCTACATATGCATTTTGTTGAAACCCCTTGCCATTAAAAGTAACTTAGTTTTCCATCTAGTTTCCAGGACTCTATAACTTGACACAAATAGTCTTAGGGACTCTAACCATGGTTAGTTCCTTGGTTCCAGACCTAGAAGTCCGAATCAGTGGCTTTTTGTGTTATTACGCATATATTCTGCTTAGTGATTTTTCCAAACGGTGGAAAATGTTAAAATTCTCCTGCATTTAAAAAGACCCTAAATTATATCTTAAATTATACAATTCAAATTGCTGTGAAAATTCAATTTTCTCAGTCACATACAATGTCAATCTGCCGAATAGCAGGCAGGGAACTTAGTTCAGGCCATCAAAAAGATGGTTTGTCTCTGGTGCCAATCCTGGATACGATCACAGTAAAAAGTTTGTTTTAAATTATAGCAGTCGAGAGCAAACACTTGAAGCGGAAATGTGGGAACAAGCTTTTGAGAAACATTTAAAGGGAAAGTGGTGACTTTAATCTGTCAGTCTGAGGCCCTGCCCACTGCAGCAGCTGTGACCCCAAAGAATGATAGATTCCATGAGGATCTGCCAGACTGCAGCACACCCCTGTGGTGCAGCCGTGGGCCAGATGGAGAGGTTAGATCTGTCTGTGATAAAGCCAGTGGTAGTTCACTAAGTATTCACTATATACACAGAGTATTGATACTCAGTGATAGTTTTATTACTCTAAAAGAGTCACCAAGATTTCGGCTTTTAACTATGTAACTATGAGAACAGTACAAAGTAAATTTTAAAGTAGTCAACCTAAAATGAAAATATCTTTGCTTATGTGAAGGTCAGCATTGAACTCTGAAAGTAAAGCATCAACTCTGAAAGTAGTGACTGGCGTCGGCTGTAGAATTCTTTTCTTTAGTTTTGGAGCTTTGACAGTGAATTTGCTTTAGATTAAAAAAAAAAGTAAATAAAATTAGGAATCTAAGTAAGTCTAACTATGCAGTATAATTTGAGTATGCTGTCCAAACTAAGATCTTTAATATTTTGTCCTTTAAAATCTCTGTGAAGGCGAAACCCCTAGGCAGATGAAATAATAGTCAATGAACAAGCTAGGTGGTACCATATGAGAATTAAATTTGAGCTGGCCTGAGGAAAATAAATTAAAATACCAGTCAAGCTAAGCATCCTTCGGTTTATTAACAAATGGTATAGTGTTAAATTACAGTATTTGGGCTGTCCCAACTGAACCCTTTTATCACTTCTAATTATAATCCTAAATGCTATAGTCCACTCTGTGTCTGTCAAAATCACAATCTTTTCTTAGTGATTTTGTTTTAGTGCTCCTTTTGCAATTTTTATTTTTTATTTAGTTGTTTCATTTTTCAGAATTACTTAATGAGTTATGAAACTAGCCCTGTTGCTTTTAACAACTTTATATTTGTGTGGATAAAACTAGCCATTTATAACAATGATTAACTAGTACTTGCTTTCTTAGTACATTCACTTGTTCCAGGGGAGGTTTTCAACAGGTTGTGAACATGACAGCTATGAGACTACTTGCAGGAGTCTTCTTTCTTTGATCCTCTCTCATATGCTGGCACCATAATATGCTGCCACATGTCAACCAAGCAGCTGCTGTACTTCAGTGGTAGATGAGGTTGTTCTCCTCCTGTGTATGAAGTGCTTTGGCATCCTTGGGGATACTTACATTAGTACTGTTTTCCTCTTTACAGATAGCTGTGAAGAGAATTACGGCCCAGTGGACGATACTCTGTGGTTGGGTTCATGTTCTAAAATTGGTTTTGTGATCCTAGCATGACCTGCCTGCTTGCTTGGTTTGACTTCAACAGGGGATGATGCTCTCAGCAACTGAATCATGAGCTGCTGTGTACAGCTGCTTCGTTTCTGTACATTGTGTACATAGTACGTTGGTTTATGTACATATACATTTTAAATTTGTTTGCTATGGAAGTGTGTTGCACAATTCAGTCATCATTCATTGATTAATGGGATGATGAATCAAAATAACAAAAGGAGCGAAACTGTGTGAACATACATATTAACAATGAGATCAGACTAGGAAAAAAGTGCATTATTGGGATATACGTATTTTATACTGACATTTCTGCATTATTGTTAACCTAATAGATGAACGAATTATGTCCAAATCTTTATAGACACGTGAAATAAAAGGCTTTGCATTCAGCTTGTGATTAGAATTCGGCATAAGCATTTATCATTAGGTGTTCTAGACAAACCAGCTGTCTTGGCAGAGCAGTGCTGGTGTCCTGGAGATCTGGATTCCTGTCTCTCCTGGGTTTCACAGCAGCCATTTGTTGCAAACTACAGGTATTAAGGTGTGTTGTACAATCCATGACATTCAGTTGGTATTGTCTCTGCGTCTCAGGGCCGAAAAGAAGAACATCATGCTGCCGTTTTTTCCCCCCAACTTTTTATTTACTGGTTTGGCTGAATAAGACAGTAACTTGGTTGAGCAGATGACTGTGCGTGTTAATTAGGTAGCCTCTGGCTGTGCTACATGAGCACTGATGGAGAAAACGTGAGGGTGCCTTTGCAGTGCTTTTGAGAAACGGACACCTTCAGGAGAAGCCGACCGAAA